GTATTTATATGGCTATAAAATATACATGTGCCCCTCTTGTGACAAAATGCTTTAGTAGGCCGAGTCAATTAAAATTTGAATGGTTCATTATTTGTAACTCTTACCTGCTTTACTACAAGCATTCGTCTACTCTCATTTGACCTATAAACTGGTCCTGAGCGCAGGAGCAAACTTCTGGTCTTCAGAGGGGAAGAAGAGGTTTTGGAGCATCTTTCTCTAGCCTAGCAGAGGACTCAGGTTGACAGAATGATAACAAGAGAAAATGGAAGTTTCTTTGTGTTGCTTGTGTCTTCAGCATCTCCTTAATTTCTCTGTCCTCTTCCTGCGTTACAGAACATCTGCAAGAACTGTGGTGGCATCTTCTGTGAAGCCTGTTCAGCGAATGAGCTGCCCCTCCCATCTAGTATTAACCCTGAGCGCGTCTGCAATCCCTGTCACCAGCAGCTCATCCAGCAGTATTCAACCAGTCCCTTGTAGGGGACGGGCTGTAGAGAGGTGACTGCAAAAGGGTTGTAGGTGATGACGGTTTCTGGAGTTGTTTGGGGGGAGTGGGAAGAGACGACACTTGCCTGTGTTCTTTGGAGGTCAGAGGGGAGGCAGCTTCATGGTGTTTACCGTCTCTTGTGACTAAAACAACAGTCTGAGTCTTTCCCATACGAAAATCTGCTTGTTCTCAGCCCTGAGCTTGTGCTGGGGGGAACTGCTCTGGCAACATCACAAGAAGTTATCCCCAGGGTGTGCCCAGGCAGCCCCGGGGCGCAGTGAGAACAGAGAGCCCTGGCCCAAAACAGAGCTCTGCATGTGCACACGTGTCTGCGTGTGCGAGTCAGCAACGGTCTCGTCCTCAAGTGTGTGGTGTGAAAGCGTGCTGCTGCTAAGCAGAGGCTCACTGGAAGTAGAACGGGAGCATTTTTAATCTTCATGTCTGGCTGCACTTGAAATACCACTTCCCCTTTCCTCATTGCCTGTGACAATCTGGCTCAACTGTGCCACATCAGTGCTGGGTGGGAGAAGGCCGGGTGAGACACCAGTGAACGCTTTCTAGCTCATTTCTTTGGCACAGCCCTCTGGCTGTGGGCTTGCTATGCTAATCAGTATCAAAAAAATAAAACAAAGCTGTGAAAGTTCTCCTTCTGTATTTTAGGGGCTGGGGGGTGAGGGTGTAGGTGCTTTTGAGGCGTGCACGATGGGAGAACTGACGACCTGCACTGATCTGGCATGGAAGTGCCTTAGGGCATCTCTGACCTTCCTCTTGGAGACCCTCACTGTGACTTTCTGACTACACAATGGTGGTCAAAGCTAAGGGTGTAACTGTACCTTCCGATCTTGGTGTGGTAGCGGGGGGAACTGGCTTCCCCGGTATGACACAGAAGGTTTAGGGCCACTTCGATCCACCTCTCCCCCTTGTGCATGTGAAAAAATTATTGTGATAAAGCTGGCATTTCACTTTTTTGGTTGTTAGATCAAAATGAGGTGAGATGACATGGGAATGCTTTTCACCTACTAGAAACTAATTTGAAACACAGTTTAAAGAGGTTTCACAGTTGATGCTACATTTTTCTTTGTTGCTGTTACCTCAAGGTGTTGCCTGTTACTCCAGAAGCGGTGGTGGCTTCCTCATGAAGCACGTCGCGTATCATGGTAGTGTTTGGTCTGTTTTCTACTGGAAGCTTACTTCAGTCTTTAAGACCACAGAATGTTTTGTAGCCCATAGAAAACTGATGTCTTTGTATGTGACAAATGCATTTGTGTTTGTACAATTTTATTAGGGGTTAGTGGTTTAATTCCTCAGAGGGGGTTTTCTATTCATTAGACTGGCTGGAATCGCGTTAAAAAGTGTGTCGCAGCTGAGGTTATTTACGTGGTTGGTGCTAGTTTGTACCAGGAGTTACTCTCTTCTAGTTCCCTCTAGGCCTCCGTGTGTTCAGCCACCCAAGTTCTCCAGCTCCTCTTGGTGCCCTTCAGAGCAAAAGCACCTCACGGGGGGGTAAAATTTAAGCAGTTTTACTTTTTCTGCTCTGTTTTTCCCCTCATGGTAGTTACCAGATATGTTTCCTTGCTGTTATCCCTTAAAGTAGATTAGTAGTTGTGAACAGTGTTGAAACAGGAAAAGCCTAGAATTCAAGTGTGGGCACACTGCTTTGGAGGGGTGAGATACCAGAAATGAATGGAGAAGATGCTGAATTTAGTGTTAATAGTTTTGTGTACGTACAGTACACATTTATGAGATACCAAATTCCTGCACCCAAACCCAACATGACTGGGAGAAAGTGTGACCCAAGCAATTTCCACGTTCAAGGATTAAACTGGAACCCAGGCACTTGATGTAAATAATTTTAATGCTGGTATGTCCAGCATTTTGCAGCGCCGAAGGGACAGCTTGGTTGTGACCTGTGCCCAGCTTTCAACTGTCCCAGCAGGAGCAGCTGTTGCTCTGCTTGCTGGAAGTGAAGGCTGTGACTGTTGTTCACAGGAGAAGCAGGCAGCTCTTGAGCAGGTCCTCTGAGGCCACAGGAGAGCTCTGTGAACAGGCAGGGAACCCTTCAGAATACAGGTCTGGTGGCTGTAATGGAAACTGGCATTTAGAAAGGTCAGAGTGAGCCTGTGTGCGCTGCCAGCTGTCTCCGTCACCTCTCTCGTGCAGTCTCCGGCTCCAGTGAATGTCTCTGCCTGTAAGCACTGGCTGTTGTGCTTTGTGACGCTGCAAATGTGCAAGGGATGTTTGCTCAAGTACTGCTTGTAACGCTGGACCGTGGGCTGACACCTGGGGGGAGCGGAGGGCACTTCTGATGTTCATTTTGTTCCACACAGTAATAAAAACTTGATTGCTCATATCCCGCGTCCTGAGTGGTCTTTCCATTCCGCGCTGCTTTGGCTGTGCGTATGAAAGCGTTTCACAACCGGTAACGGATGACGGGTGCTTGCGCAGACTGCGAGAAGCATGGTTGGAGGAATAAGGTCTCAGCTGTACTACACTGTGCGCCTGCTGACTTCTGCACGAGGAGCCTGAAGCCCTCTGGTTTTGTTAATTGCCAATGCTGGTGTTTCACTGATGCTTTGTACACCATTGCGCAGTTGGAGACAAGAACTGCTCCGTCCTGCAGCATCTGCCATTCCTCGAGTACAGCTGCCTCTGCTTTTGCAACAGACAATCTTTCCAAAGTATGGCAACACAATTTATTACATGCTTTTACACAACACTAAATTTTTACAGTTTATCCTTGTCATTGAGCAGCGACACTCGTACTCGATCTTTACGCTCATGCCCACGGAATGTGTTCGCTTCGGCCTAAAATGAAGAGGAAAAAGAAAAATCACTACCTTGCTGCAGCTTGTTGTTTTCCTTTTTTTCAAATGCACCACGGCGTTATATTCCAAATTACTGTCTCCAATAATAGAATAGTAGAATTCAGCGATACTAAAAGACCTCACCGCAAAAGGTGAGGTGAGACGAAGAGCTACAGCAGGTGAGACACTTCCATGTCGGGCTGCAGTCCGGCCAGAAACTCTTCCGCATGTTCCTTGTGCCAGGGCGGCTGGGAGGCTGCATGGGATGCAGGTCACAGCAAGCGCGCATCTTCAGTCTGTCCCCAGAGCTTATCCCTAGCCTAGACCAGGAATTCAGAGCTGGAGGGGGGGCAGGACAGAAGGGAATTCATGGAAGCATTCTGAGTTGGCCAGGGCCTTCTGTAGAAGTCACAGGAAACTTCTCTGCTGGTACAAACATTCTGCCCTTCTTTTGCAGCAGGGAGGGCTACCTTGTGTTTTCAGTACGGAGTGTGACCTGATCGTGTCACAGCAGCAAGAACTGCCACGCTGCGCTGTGCCTGCCTCGGCGGGAGGGCCACCTCCCTCTTGCTCGCACCCTGCAATTTTTCTCTAGTACATGTGGCAAGGAGAGAGATGCAGGTTCTGTGAAGGGAAAAACCCCAAACAAACAAAAACCCCACACCACCACCAAAAAAAAAACACCAAACCCAAAACCTGTCCTGGCACAGGACACCTCCTTCCCTTGTTAACATAACGAAAAACATTGCAACCTGTTTGCATTAAAAACCGGTTTACTACTGCATGTAGCTAGGCCACTGGCCTGCTTCTGAGAAAGTGGATGAATGGCGGGCGGGGGGGGAACCCAAACAAATCTGAAGAACATTACTCCAGTGTATCAACTGAAGAATGTAAAACTCTGTTGTCTGTAATGGTAAGCACTATTCCACCCCCAGCCACAAGACCAGTTACCGTCAATCCACAGCCATGGAAAATGTTTAGCCACATTTCCTCTTCCATGCCAGGGAATACAACCCCATCAGAACCTTCAATCAATCACACTAGCAGCATTTTAAGGGGAGGAGGAAAACAACAACAAAAAAACTAACCCTCTTGCACGCTCCAGCAGGCCTCAGCTGTGACAGGGCAAGCTGCTGCGCAGCGCAGCAACAACCTCTGCTCGCCCTGGCTGTAACCTCAGGGAGGAGCTGCTGCCCCTCCACCGCGGGGCTTTTACCCATGGACTCTGGATTCGCAGGCCAGAAGGTCCCGGCTCAATGCCTGACCTCAGACGAGCCATGATGATTCCCTTCAGCCACTCTAAATTTTAGCCTTGAAGCTAGCTGAAATCCACAGCAGCATAAATAGCAAGCCTGAGGCATATGTTGCTAAAAATGGAACAGGAACAACAGAGAAGAAGGACGCGCTTACCAAATCTGAGCCCGTGCCACTGTCAGCAGTCTTGTTTTGCCTTTGGATGTTCATTCAGGAATAATTCAATGGCACTGCACTCTGGGGAACAACGTGAGAGAGGCAGTCTGTGTTCAGCGACTTCTTTGTGTTACATTTTTCTTTTTTTTTTCTTTTTCACACAAAGCCAATGTCACATTACAGGGTAATTTGGAAAGCTACACTTAAGACAAGCCTTTTGCACCGGCTGTTAACAGGAGCTTGACAAGCTGTGCCAAACTACCGGAGGATCTGAGTCTCGGGGTTGCAAGACGCCCTCCTCTTTACTTACGCAGCTGTGACCCCTCCTTGGCCATAGCAGCAACAGCGTCCTCTTGGCTCTCAAAATGTACATCCGCTTCTCCTGTGGCATCTCCATCGGAGTCGTATTCTACCATGATCCTTGTGGGCTTCAGTGGAGCAAAAAACTGAAAAGGCAGCACACAAGAGAGTTTGGTGAGAAAGAAACAACAGAACAGTAACACACCCTATTACCGAGAAACTCAAATGTTTTACTCATAAAGCCTGTGCAGCTGTGGGGAGTCTGAGCTCCTGAGCAGCAAAAGGCCCCCCTTCTCCATCTACATGATGCTGAGGTACACCCAAGTCACCTGTCTCAGGGCATGCAGTCTCCCACCCTCCGCAAGCTCCTGGCAGAGTAATTTTTGACAGGAACAAAAATCCTCACACAGCACACGTTCTGTACATGTCTAAGTCTTAAGTGCAGGTACATTCGCTCTGTGATGCTGTAGACTACGAAAATGAAGTAAAATTGATAGTAAAAAGATTCTGAAATTAATTTTTGTACAGTCAGCTACTCTGAATTCTAGCTAAGATTATACATAGCTAGTCAAGTCAAAGCGACGCATATTAAGACAGCCCAGCAAGTTTTAATCCATTCTTATTTATGGAGGCGAGCATATCACTGTTGTGCCCGTGTGGCCACGGCTCCCACGGGGAGCCTGTAACCCTGGGCAAGCTCAGGTTTCCAAACACATTCAGCCTGAAGCCATGCAGCACTGAGGACTAACACAGAGACAGATAAATTAAAAATCTGAAGTCACATCATTTGTAACAATTAATCAAGGATTTCCATTGGTAAAGACAACTGAATTTCATTCACAGCTTTACTGTTACTCACATTTATTATGTCTTGGGTGCTAGCTTGGGTAGGAAAACCCCTCACGTGGACAAAGGGCAGCGGTGATGAGATGTTCCCAGATTCTAAAACCTGCCTGGGGCTTTCCGTTCCTTCCCTGCCCAATTCTGTGGAATAGAGGAAAAAACATCTTTAACGCTTGCAATTGTCACCTCCCTCGCGTGAAAGATGTACACACGCGCGGTCATGCTCATAGCAGACAATCAGGGTAACATGCAGGGGCCTCAAAGAACACGTGCAGCCAGGAGGGACTCACTATTTTCTCTTTCATCATCAGAGCTTCCCATGTCACTCGATCCCCTTTCTTCAGAAACGGGTTCGTGTTCTTTTCTCACTTTGGGGTAGGTCACCATCTGCTTGTCATAAGGCACATGCCTTTGCATTTGATGCTTTCTACTCACGTACACTTCTATGTATCTAGAATTCAAAGGAAAAGAGTACATGGCACACCTTGCGCCTCTGCAAAGAACTCAAGATTTTGTGAAAGCACCTTCAGGACGTTTTCCTGTCTCAGCTCTGCTCACGTGCTGGCTGTGAGAGCCATGGTACGGCAAGCAATGGTTTTGAAGAGTTAATTCATTTAAATTGCACAGTTGTGTTTCTGGAAGCCCTTTCCAACTCGCAGTGACAGCCACTCTCCTGTATAAACCCACATATTCAGAGACAGATTACCAGGCTGGTCTGGACAAAGTCTTTAGTTTCCAGCCTTATGCAAAGTTCTTGGAGCAGTACTATCAATCGCTTTCAAGCCAGAATTCTGTTTTGTCGCAGAAATAAAGATTTGTTTCCTCTGAAAAATGTTTTCTATTTCTTTCAGCAGTATGCACCCCTTTTGAGCAGCCCTGTATGTGAGGCTGTTTTCCCCTCACTGCATCTCTGCAAACTGCACTACTCCCATATCTACAAACCCCAAATTAAAACAACACCCAACCCCAAAACACATTACTGAAACAGCCAGACACAGAAGATGCACAAGGTTGTGTTAAATCCTTCAGTGGAGCTGTAATATTTTACATATTGCTATGAAATTGACAGGATAAAATGTGATGGGGTGTGTGAAAATCATGGGTACAATACACCAATATGTAATGTAACTTTAAGGGACTCTAGCAAGATCCCACTTACACCACAGAAAGCAAAATAAAAAAGCACAAACCAACAACAAACTCTTATTTGCCCGTTTAGTCAAAGTATAACATCATAATGCCTTATATTTCTATCCATCTGCCCCAGAACCCCTTATCTCACAGCTGCCCATGCTCATCTTTCAGAGAGCTGGCAACGGTGCCAGGTGGGCCTCACACAGATTTAATCAGCAGTGTTAAACTAGACAATTTCCACAGCACTGAAGGAATAATATCATCAAGAATACGGACATCCAAGTGAGGAGGCTTTCCTCCCTTCCTGAAGAGAGAGGCTATGATAAAGGAAGTAACCCCACGTACAGACTGACAGAGCTTACAGTTCAGCCCCCATGAACCCACGCTTGGTACTGTACACAGCTGCAGGACATTTCTGGATAAAATTGACAGCCCAGGAAGAATGAACAAGAGCAAGCTCACAGTAGTTTTGGAAACCACTCCATTTCTTGGCTAATCACACAGAAACACAGGAGGTCAGACGGGTGAGTCAGATCAGCTCTTGTTCAATTGTGACAAACAAAAAATTAAAGGCAGATTGAAAATTAATCTCTACTGGAGGGTAGGGAAGTGTCTCAGTTAATTCAATTATTTGGAACACCTACAGAGCAGCTGTTTTCTTTTGAGGAAATGCAGACTGGGAACAGGAAATAAGGAAACAGAGCAAAGGAAGTAGGTGCTGCTATAGGAAAGAGCGGTAAGGTTTGGAGCTATCTGGTATTCATAAAGAGAACTCCATGGGTTGTTACAGATTAGAAACCTCAACAGGTTAAAAGCAAACAGGTTTTTTTTTCCTGAGTGGAGCTCAGGATTCTGGGAAAAAGTGGTATATGCTTCTACTGGAGAAAAGAGAGGCTCTTGTGAGTGATGTGTGTGGCACAGGGCTCGGTGCTCTGGAAGAAAGTAGCTAAACACAGATTCCTGAGAAAGGAGGAAGTGGTTGCTGAAGAGGATGATGATTGTATGGTGTTGGCCAGTAATAGTAATCAACATCAGGAATGGATTCAAGCTGGAGGCGAGTGCTAAGCTGTGCTTTGTACAATGAACTCTCCAAGACAGTGTCTACCAGACACTGACTGCCTGGTACTGGGCTGGAGGGAAGGGTGAGGGTTGCCAGAACTGCAGAAAGCACCAGGGAACAGGGGAGAAATTTGGCAGGGCAAATGTCTGTGGAAGGCGCAGGATCCTCGTGCACTTGTGACTGAGTAGGTGGTATCTATCTAGTCTTCCCCGCTCTGAATGCTATAGCCCCATTTTTGTTGAGGTGCCTTCAGGAATACTTACAAAGAACTACGACTTTCTCTGAGAGGCCCCAAATTCCTCTAAGCTACAAGCGCCGACAGTGCCTCTGCAGCACATGGAAGCCTGCAAAAGGCTTCATTGTATTTTCTCTAGTTTTGTCAAGGTTCTAAAGAAAACATCACTAGAGGAAGTAACACTTAAGTTACACAGACTATTTCAGAGGGTGTTATTTAAAAAGAAAAGTTTTAAGCCACAAAATAACACCCTGACACCGCTGTGAGAAAGATTTAGCTTATTTCTACAGAAACTTGAATCTGAAGTTTGGCTTCTAGCTTTTAAGGGTAACACAGGCAGAAGTTTCCTTAATAATAATCTGAGTATGGGATAGCCTATGATTAGCCACCTCACCTGGTAAGATGCAAGCTGTAAGTCACACAGCATGCTTCATACCATGTTCTTCTATGCTCGTGAACCTCAGTGAAGCACCTACCTATTTCCCATATATTCCCTGTGTCGTAAAAGGGCTTTAGCTGCCATTTCCGGAGCTGCAAACTGCACGAAAGCTTCTCCTGTTCTTCTTTCTCCCCGGTAAACAAAAACTATGTCAGTTATTTTCAAACCTATGGAAGGGTGGGGAGAAAAAGGCATTTATGTTGTCAGGAACTTGTGCCACAGCTCAAGAGACATTTCTTCCCTTACTCTTCTGGTTTTTGACAAACTAATCAGGCAGTTAAATAGATCTGAACCAACTACTCATGCCGGCCTACACACTTTTAATTTTTTTTTTTAACTTCAATTTACTGAAGTTAGTTTTCACAGAAGGCTTAATTGCCAATAATGAATCAACTTGAGGCTTCAAGTAACTATGAAAACAAGTGAATCCAAGTTCTACACAACAAGGAAGTCCACAGCACAAATGTTCTTGAAATTCTTATTATGGTAATTTTTTCCCCATCTCTTTAAAACCCAGTATGTAGTACCTTCTAAGGGAGCCTGTAATCCAGTCAATAGCTGTGTATGACATGATACAGAGTACCTGCTATGCTGAGCTCCTACACTTACCTTTTCAGGAATTCCTTTCTGCATACCTCTGCATCTTGTTACTTTCTCAAAAGGTCTCCCCAAGCTCTTCAAGAAATGGAAATGCTTGCTCCAAAATGCTGCCTTAGTCATCTTCACTGTGGTAACTTTGCTACTAGATGCCTTCAAACATACTGAACTACTGGTTATCAATTGAAAACTTTACTATTGGTGGCCTCTGCTTTTGGCGTGATGGTGGTTATTATGAGCTTTAGTGCTACAGGACTCTGTGCAAGCCTACCTGGAGTGGAAGAAGTTGAGGGGGAAGAACAGGTTTTGGTTTAGTCTGCAACTTAAACTTTATCTAAAGAACTCCCAATTTATTTTGCAAAACCTAGAAAGGTTTCTTTCCTAATGAATGCAGTAAGCAACCACTTGGACTGCTCTAACACCGAGTGTGGGACATGAGCATGCGCACACACACTGTGCAATACTTTCTCAGCTGAGAACTGGTGCAGTTAACTTTGATAAATAAAAAAACGTTGCTGTTAACAGTTTTAATAGTGGCATACATGATCTAACTGTCATGATTATACATCTGTGAATACCCACACTGCATTCACTTGTACTGTAACTATCACACAGGCATTTTTCCCCCTCTTAACTTTGCCAAATTATGCACTGGTAGCAATCCAACTGCAGGTAACAGGATCTGAGTTCCTCCTCTTTCCTTCCCCGACCCTTGTGAAAGTGCTGCACGTACTGATCTTAGGTTAGACCTGCAGAAAGTTAAAGGTGCAGCAATGCCTTGCAGAGCCAAAAGCATGTTCAGAAACCTTTAGATACTTCTAGCTGCAGGGGGAGAACAACTCCTTGTACTGTTTAAGGTGTTCAAGGCTTCATGTGCTTTTGCTTTTCTCACTTAGAGGAACAACAGCCTAGCTAAGCATCAACTTGGAGAAGCAGACTCCTCGTAACTACAGAGCACAAACTAGGTGAGTTACCTGAGAAAAAAACTTCAATATCCTCCTCAGTGGAGCTGAATGGAAGGCCTCTGAGTAGTACAACTCCATCATTCATGGCTTGTGACTCATCCCGCAGATTTTGTAGTAAGCCCTCTACATCACTATCGTGTACTTCAAAAACTGCAATGAATACAGGCACAAAACATGTTTTCCCTTGTGGTACTTAAAAGGTGGCACTCTGCAAGCATTCTTCTAAGGCAGCTTTTTCCCCCTGCAAACCTTTGTAACATTTCTTCCCCGACCCCACACACCATGGCCCTGCAATGGTGCCCCTCACTGCACAAGCCACTTTGCTTTTGCAGTCCAGCCTAAGAAGTTTTGGCTTAATAGTATCTTGTAGGCTAATTTGCTTCTCCATTCCACACCCTGCACCTCTCCACACCAGCCCGCTTTATTCCACCAGTTCTTCTTCACTCATCATGAGTTTTATTCCAGTATAACTTCCATCATTTCAAACCCACCTTTCACATAGCGTGGGCCCATATACCTCAGGTGCTTTTCCAACGCTCTCTGGACATCTGCTTTTGACTCCAGCTCGATCAAGGCATCCCCTCTTCGTCTCCCATCCCTGTTTAAGAGGAAGTGTATGCCGTTCTCACCGTTTCGAATTTTACAGCCTAGAAATCAAGGAACACACGATACAGAAACATATGCACCTGCATCAAACATGGGGGTCTTCTGAGTGCAGATGAAAACTGAATATTCTGCATAGAGTTATTCCACTCAGCAGTGCAAAATACTGTCTTGAAGCACAGGATAGGAGACTCCTATTCCTAACCTTAACTCTAACGTACAATGCTTATCACAGACAAGAAACTGATTTCACATCCATTAGCTTCCACAGCTGTATACCTGGATAACACACTTTCTCATATTGTTGATAAACTTGTTTCTGGGTTATGTGAAATCAACAACAAATGCTATAGTCTTTCAGTCTCCACAGCTATACTCTGCCTGCTCTACGTTTCTTTCCCCATGGACTTCAAAATGACTTAATTTAGTTTGGCAGGTTATTAAAGCATTTAATAACTTGGATCTGACTATCTAGTCTACTCTGGAAGGATCCATCATACTATTACAATATGGAGGGATCACCCCTGCAAAGATATGCACAAGCCTATTAATTAGGATCAGAAAGCAACACTGAGGTTTAAACTAGTAAGAAAAAATCACTCCAGTTTGTTTAAAAAAGGGGAGTTGGTAAAAAAGCCAACCCTAGTAGTTTTTGAAGGAACCACTTTGAATTGGGACTGCCTTTACTGTGGAGACACACACTAAAAAGGAAAAGATTTGCTCAATTAAATATAAAATGCTGTAAGGATGATTTTCTAGTCATTGTCCAGGAGTTCAGAAGTTGATTTTTTGCTTCACATGTGTAAATCATGAATAATTTTGCAGAAATATTAAAAACGGATCCTTCTCTAACAACCTTTGAATTTTTTCTGTTAACAAATCATTAACTACTGGGTTCAATAACACCACACTGAACAGTTACACAGGAAAATTAGCTCCCGTACTATCAAAAAAGGAAAGCACGTCTTCCTCGGTGCAGGAGAAGGGGAATCCTTGCGCCCTGATGAGAAAGACATCACTTTCTGCCTTGGGCGGCTCCGATTCCTCCTCCGAGCGGTGACCTTCCTGGGATGGCACATCTGTAACCTGTCACCAGAAAGAAAGAAAAAAAAACAATCCTCTCCCAGCATTAAAACGCAGCAGCGCGCAGCTCCCGCAGCGGCACCCAGCCGCGCTCAGGTTCTGCGGCAGGTGCGCGG